GAAGGGAAAGATAAGATGATTTCCTTTACTATCTTGCTTCTACTGAAGACAGGTGTTAATCATTAGTACACAATATATTCCATAGTACTGGGACAAAAAGACAAACTAGTATCCACTTTTAGTTAAAATGTTCTCAGGTTCATCATGAAATACAACATTTTTTGCTATCAACACACCATTTATATTTTGTTATCTGCAAAGCAAGAGAGAGACTTTTGCTATAGGGCACGCGCACTCACCAGAGATACAGAAAGAAATCATCCCCCAAGGGGCAATGGCCGTGCTGCAATCCCTTCCATTCCATTCTCCCCTTGGGATTTTGGGCATGCACACACACGTGCCCAGTGTGAGTTTTAAGCCACCAGGTCCAGGACTCGAATTGCGATCAGCTATGTGGGAGTCCAACGATATAACCATTATGCCATCTGCTGGACACTCACTTTCTTAATAGTGTTGGGAAAACATCACCATGAAAGTCTAGGTATCCACTGAACAACGTATTAGAGTTACAATTACTGCCTTTGTTGTCCTTTGCAATATTTAGGATGTAAATAACTTGTTACAAGAATGTTCAAAATGTGTACTATGATAACTACTTTAACAATAGTTAAGAACACATATCCAATGAAAATTTCATGTTACAATTAGTGCCATAGTAAACCATGTGCTATCCTCACTCTCCCGAATGTGCCACTGAACAGAGCATCTCCACCTGGAATAGGGGCCAGTGAGGGTCCAGTTCTATCAAAGCCAAAGAGGAAAAAGTATCTTTAAAGTCTGAAATATTTTGCTGTGAGCACATACAGTCACATATGTTATAGCCACACTTAAAACCACATACACAATCCAACTATAATAAACTCTTTCGGAATCACTTAACTTTATAGGAAAAGCAAAACAAACAAACGTCTTTTAATTAGGGTACCAGAGAAGAAGAAAATCCTTTAGAAACTGGCAAAGTTGACATTTCAAATTACTTAAACTCAGTTATCTTGTTAAAAAGAAGGATAGAAGGCAAGAAAGAAAAAGAAAATTAACAAGTGCAATGGTATGAGTATAAAATGCAAATTATGTGTGGCCTGCTAATTAAGGGAGCTGTATCCCACATAGTCAGCCCTGAGGTCTGAATCCCAGACTCAACACCTTGAAAAACATGCCAGGCACATGTTCGTGCATGCCCTAAATCCCAACAGGTTAAGAGAAGTGAAGGAATTGAGGCATGACCACATCCCATTGAGGGGTGCTTTCTCCCTTTCTGACTTTCCCTCTGATGACTGAAAAACAAAATAAAGTAAAATAAAATGAAAATAGTGAAAAATTAGCACTCTAACTATACCTGAATTCTATGCATGTATAGGAAAAGAAGGGAGGAAAAAAAATCACTAACATTCAAGTAATTCAAAAATCATGAATGATAAGATAAATATCAAATACTTCCACAATATATATTGGGTTGTTGGAAAAGTCATGACATATTTGTCTATGCAAAATTGCATCATGACTTTTCCAAAAGTCCAATATCTACAGTTGTATATTTTTAAATATATTTTTTCAAAATTACAAGTCTTGACTCTATTTGTTTATTTGTGCTAAAACAGATTTCAGAAGACTGAATTTATGATCATATTAAGTTTAGGAGAGACCTTCAAATAATTTCACTTTTTACTTTTGATATGAAAATCACTAATTAATTCTAAGCATTTACTGAGTGCCTAAGTACAACTTATGGACAAGGCACAAATGTCCTAAAACACTCCCATTTACCTCAATGAGAAGAGAAAAATTCTACATGTTCTATACTGAATTACTTCAGTGCAACCATTTTTTATATGAGGGTATTAAAAGCACAGAATCTTACTTGGTTTTACTCTGAGTGAAAACAGGGAAAGCATTAAAGTCACTAATGTACTTTCAAGATGACTGAGCTGCACAAAACAGCAAATTTTGGGACCAGCAGATGGTGTAATGGTTACATCGCTGAACT